TTAAGAAGCAGAAAGTCCTTAAATAAGGTCTGGTTTGAATTAGTGTATCTCTCTCAGTCAAGAAAACTTACTTCTCTGTCCTTTTATTTACTTATTTTTACTGTTTTGAAAGTCAATGTATTCTCAGCTATCCATTTGATCAAGTCAGTATCTTAGGACTATGCTGAATGCTTTATCAACAAATACCTAGCTGTTACATATCCAGTAGTGTCCACTGCATATCTGCATGTTTTAATATTTCCAGTGACTTTTTGGCGACTTTCCAATGCATAAAGTTAATATATTATTTGCTGCTGTATATATTGTTTGCTTTCTTTATAGTTTTTGGTACTATTGGTTTAACTTCGTAGCAGTATTATTAGTCAAACTTATAGGTCATATTTGCAAACCTAGTAATATATATGCTACCTTTGTACTTCTGTGAGATAGCTGCTTGATCTTTTAATCACATTTTATCAGGTCTTATCACTCTGCATTTGCCTTTTCCTTTTGCCAGATCTGCTGGAAGAGCATTGGAAGAAAGGACACCAGCTAAAAAAGCAAACACTGCCAGTTCTTCTAGCGGTGCTCGACATGGTATGCCACTAAAATACAGTTCCTTCTAATGAAATGAGTGAATTAACTGGATATCTGAACTATCTATTTTGATATGTTGTATCATATTATTTTCAGTTTTCTCTCTCTTTTCTTTTATCAGCAATAGGATTCCTATACCTGACTGTCATAATGTCATTCTCATGAACATTTACCCTTTCAACCTTCTCTTCATAATCCTCATCAAGAGTCTTGCTGCTAGTGATTTGCTGCTTTTTAGTGCGGGTTATATCAAGAATTATTCACGATTTGGGAGGTGAGGGGGAAGAGAATGATAGAAAATTACAGGAAAATTTGGAATAAACATAGAAGTAGCGAAGAGACTTTAATACTTATTATTAGTTGTATTAATTTAATATCCATTAACCCAGATAAGATTCATTGCTTTGATAGAAGAGGGCCTGTTAGAGCAAATGAAATAATTCTTAACAATTATTATTATTAAATATGAATAGGATCAATATGATTCTTTTTTGGATATTTCTACAAAAAATCAAACCAATCTTATAAGTATTTAGGCCTTCAGAATATTTCTATATACATTCCATACACTTAGAGTCCCTCTATAATTTAAATCGGTGCATTAATATAATTGGACAATCAGATGGATTATTTGATATTAATAGGATTGATTTGATTGTTTAAAATTTGAATGGAATTAGATTTAGATCGATTCAGTGTCTGGTCTTTTCGCTTTCAAGCTACACTTTAGTTAAATTTATGAGGTTCCATTGAATTAAAACTTTTAGATTCATGAGAAATGTGGTGTATTAAAGTTATTTTACGTTATTTTAGCCATCCATTTAAGTTTTCTTGGATATTGTAAGTTTCTAAATTGATGCCTGATTGCCTTCCCTGTCCCAGAATCCCAATTTAATCTTGATTCTATTTTTTTATTAACATATTTCACTTGTAATTTGGTCGTCTCAATTATACATTTTCATTGATGAGGCTCTATTTTATTTTTCAAAGCTTATATTATTTATTTAAGACTATATAATCATTATGAGACGTGCCTTTTCTGGTTGTTGGGTAGAAATACATGTTCTTTATAAAGAAGGTAAGGAAAAAATTTAATATTTCGAACTAGCTGATAAGTGGATATGTATAGGGCTGGCTATATTTCTTAACATTTGAAAGGAATTAGATTGATAATTTTGGATAAGTATTTCACTGTATTATTTATTTATTTATTTTCTTTATGTACAAACAAAAAATTTTCATCTCTAACCTATAACTTTTCATATGTTAGATATATCTGAAAGAGCTATGTAAGAAGGAAAAGATAGGAATAGTTGCTTGGTTTTTAAGGGCATTTATAGACATATCATGAACTTCTCTAATTCTTGAGTATGACTAAAAGGCCCATGTAGGAAGGACGTTTGGCCTGGGGGTTGGGGATGGGGAAGGGTAAGCCCTAAAGTATTTGATTCTAGTTTGTAGGTGTATTATAGATGTATTATCTCCTGGAGAGCTGATGTAGATGATATTTAACAGTGTGCTTTTGGGACCTAAGAAATATATTTTTTCCTACATGAGAAGCTGAAATTACACATCCTAAAAGGAAAAGGATAAAATAAATTGCAGCCCCTATTAGTTGCAGGATAATCTGACCACGGAGAAAATTTGTGATGAATGTATTTTGGTTCTCTTTTGTTTTTATTACCTGCTTTGACGAGGTGATTCATCCTTGTTCAGAAGGATCCTCAGCGACTGAATTCACTGAGAAGAAACTTCAGTCTATGACTGTCGAGCGATTGCGGTTACAATTAAGGGAGAGAGGCCTTTCACCAAAAGGAAAGAAGGTGAGAATTTATTAATATTCTTTGCTATTCTGTTTTTTCATCATCATCATCGTTGTCGTCGTCATCATTCAAAATTTTTCTAATCATATCACCATTACCATAACTAATTATTTGAAAATTGTCTTTTACCAAAAAGATTGGGTTAGCTCCAAAATTGGAAGGCTCCTGTGGATATTTACAAATCTGTCTAGCTGATGTCAAAATTATAGACCTTTTAATATTTCCCTTAGTATTAACCAAGTAAAATATATATGAGAGACAAAGTTCTCTTTACACATCTTAGGCTAGCTGCTGCTATGCAACCTTTTTACACCTACAAGGACTAGAGGCCTTTCACCAAAATGAGAATTTATTATTGCTTCTTTGTTATTCTATTATTTCATCATTATTTCCATCCAAATCTTTTTCCATCATATTGCACGAGTATCATATCCAATTATCTGGAAAAAATGTCATTTTCCATCACTGTTTGGTCTGCTGTGGAATGCAACTGCAAAATTGGAAGGCTCCAAGGGAGATTGACAAATCGATAAGGCTGATTGTCTACCTAATGTTAAAATTTTAAAATTGTCAAATCTTTTTAACTTGTCCCAGAATATCAGCCAAGAAAAATATAGATGAAGGACAAAGTTCTCTTTACACCCATTATTAGACATATTGCTGTTTAGAAACCTTATTGATTGTGTTTCCCTAACATGCAGCATAGGAACGAACTCTCTGAAATATTCTTGGTTAATAAATTATGCACTAAAAGGCATAAATGTTAAAATTTGCTAGTTAGACTATCTTCGTTTTTGATTCATGACGGAAGCCCAAAAGACAAATGAGAACACTATCCCATATGTTTATTTTTGGTTTCATGTTGCTAATAATGTTTATTTGTTACACGAACAAACGCAAGCCTTTTAACTAATTATGTGAAACCCGATGAAATATCGCAGAAGTTAATTAGATATCAGTCTGGGTTGCACTCTGAATTTTCTTTTATTTTGGATCTTTGTGAGGTCTGTATTAAGAATTGCTTGGACGGTTGGGTTGAAAATCCCTTGGATTTTCTTTGGAACGTGAATCCTTTGTATTGCACAAGTATTCCTTTGGCCTAAACTCCTTAGGATTAAAACCCAGGTTTTTTGCGGGTGCCTGATTAACTCCCCTACGAGGTGTTAATTTCACTCCACACAGTAATTTTGGATTGTAATTTTTTGGGTTTTAGTCAAAAATTGATATCCAAATAACATAGGTCATCGAATTTCTCAAATTCATGGGATAAAATGGAATCTTAGGTCAGAATCTTAGTATCAAGTGTATTTAAACATGCCCTAGATTATACCTTTGTGTTTGTTTACTTAACTTTTAACTATACGTCTGTCATGTTTTTAATTAGCATGAAAAAAAGAAAAGAAAAGAAAACCATGATGATGATGTATCACTTTCTAGCATGTTTGCAACTTCTTGTAGAATATTTTGTATTTAGTTTAAAAGGGATCATTAGATAATTGCTCTTTATGTTAAGTAGTTTTGTTGGCCCTTTCAGTTTCCTTTGGAACCTAGAAACTAATATAAACCTTACTCCACTGAAGTGATCCGTTTATCTTATGATACCGATCTTGCAAACTTAAAGGACAATTCAGATGTTTCATTTTTCGGTTTAGTTCAACTGGAATACTGTATGCGGCTGTCTCACTTCTAGTTGCATTTGTTCCGTAGAAAGGTTAAATGGACAGTTTGTTTTTCGCTATTACAGGATGAACTAATTTCGCGTTTGAGAGATGCATCGTAGTCGGATATAATCAGCCATCAAGCTTATGTTTGAGGACGTCGGAGCTCTCTTTCAAAAACAGAATACAAAGTTGGGGGGGCTCCAACTGTAACTTAAATGTAAGAGACCGAAAACAGAGAAGTTACTTTTGTTACCAAGCTCAAGCTCCATGGGCTGCAAGATACTTGTGATGTTTTTAGGTGTATGTTATCGGTTGTTATCATGTGTAACTTAAGTTTGTGTCAAACTCCTGTCACCTTAGAATCAAACCTTTTTGCAGACATTGATCTTTTTGATCGCTGAAAACAAAGAAGTTCCTTTGTCACCAAATTTAAGCTCTGGGGACGCTACATACTTGTCATTCTCTTTAGGTGTATGCTATCCCTAGATATCATGCGTAATCTCAATGAATGTCAAACAGTCTGTACATCTATTAATATTATCATGATTAGGGTGTTTTAAAAAAAAATATATATATTCAAAAATTATTTCTAAACAATCGGGTTAAAATTTATCCATGGTAGATGATAAGTATTATTGCATTAACGTTGCTAGTCAGAAGTGTTGTTTTTTAAAGTTTCGATTTTTTTAGGGAAAATTTGTAAAATAGGCCATTTTTATGAAATATATAGCGAAATAGACCACTTTGTAAAATAATTAGCAAAATAGACCTCTTTTGAAAAAAAGAGTTCGATTTTGAAAAACAATGCTCAGAAAACATACGGGACTACTAGCCCCGTATGTTTAGAGCTAACTAATCACGGATTAGTGACTCAGAAAACATACGAGACTAGTAGTCCCGTATGTTTTCTGAGTAGAAAATTTTACTAATCCGTGATTAAAACATACGGGACTACTAGTCCCGTATGTTTTCTGAGCTCTTTTGTAAAATAGACCTCTTTTTGGCATGTTGGTCAAAAAAAGATCTATTTTGCTAAATAATTAGCAAAAACGGTCTATTTTGCAAATTTTCCCTTTTTTTAATACTCTTGACTTGGCAATCCGAGATAATTAACTTTCTAATTATAAACATCGGGGATTATCAACCTTGGGTTAGTTACAAGCATTTGAGAGAGAGGAAATGTAAAGGAGTCGTGGAATGCAAAGTTAAAAGTGTTTTTTTTTTCTTTCTTTTTTCTTCTTCTAGATGGTTGGAAATTATCACTTGAGTAGAAAATTTTACTAATCCGTGATTAAAACATACGGGACTACTAGTCCCGTATGTTTTCTGAGCTCTTTTGTAAAATAGACCTCTTTTTGGCATGTTGGTCAAAAAAAGATCTATTTTGCTAAATAATTAGCAAAAACGGTCTATTTTGCAAATTTTCCCTTTTTTTAATACTCTTGACTTGGCAATCCGAGATAATTAACTTTCTAATTATAAACATCGGGGATTATCAACCTTGGGTTAGTTACAAGCATTTGAGAGAGAGGAAATGTAAAGGAGTCGTGGAATGCAAAGTTAAAAGTGTTTTTTTTTTCTTTCTTTTTTCTTCTTCTAGATGGTTGGAAATTATCACTTTCTAATGTGTCTTTCTATTTTCGCACTTTTAAGCTTTCCAATTCCAAGCAGCTCTCATATCGCATTAAAATATACTACGAACAAAGTTAATACTAGAAAGCGACTTGCTTCTCATTCAAATATCAATTCTTTTATTCATGACAATAACTTCTTTGAATCAAAAAATGATGTCAGTGATCATAAAAAGCTTTTTTCATATTTCACAAAATTTATACACCAAGAAACCCATTAGTAGACAACAACTTAATGATCCGTGTTTGTTTGGCATCCCTAGATTATTAAAACTCTTAATTAACAACTAGCGTACTTTCGATCAAGATGCAAACATGGCTGAAAGTTGGTCAGTTTTAATTAGTAAATAGGAAGTTGATCAGTTCTTATATTTAAATCAAAAATATTTTTTTTAAACATGCATTTGGTTAAATTGAAAAGCCCCTCTATGCTTTCTGTGATTGATAGAACTCACTTGAGGTTTCAAAACTACGTAACGTCTACCTTTTTTGTTTAAATTTCAATAAAATTGTATTGAATGAAACCAGTAAGATCATTTGATAAATAATAATATTTACTTCCGTATATATACATATATACATACACAATTATTATGTTAGAAATTGATGACTATTAGATTAAATATTGGAAAACGAGAGAATGAAAAGAGGAAATGCCAGGTTTAAAAATTTAGAGGGGTTTCTCATCGTTCTTATCACCGAGGATATTTTTTATAAGTTACCCAATTTCTTTTTAAAATGTTTAATATTTGGCACCAAGATATTGAGTTAATAGTACAGATTTGAGACCAATTGCCCGTGGTTTCTCGGAGATGACGATAGGGGCTAAATATCGGAAACCCCCCTCACCCTCTTAACTGTGGGCGATTATCAACAAACCCTCCATAACTTCGAAAATAATAAGAAAAACCTTTACTTTTAATGTTTTATTAGAAAACCCTCCTTAACTTTGAGATTTGATCAGCAAACCCCCCTAATTCAGGGTGGTTTCCTAATAAAAATCACAAAATTAGGTGGAGCATCTTGTTTCAGCGCCCACGGTTTCTATGCGTAGGCTATTGGAAGACAAATAAGCACATCGTTTTTAGGGCTACATGATGACAAATAAGCACATCGTTTAGTGAACATCCACTGAGACCCACACTAGTCACTTTGTCTCTTTATAAAGCTACTACCGCATAAACAATTCGAAAAATTCCTCAAAGACCCAAAATATGTGATTAATAGAGGGGATAAGTGAGGTGTCTCCCTCCTATTGGATAATGAGTTGACCATCATTAATGATGGCCAACTTATTATCTAATAGGAGGGAGACACCTCACTTGTCCCCTCTATTGGTCCTATATTTTGGGTCCCTGTAGCAAAGCTCAAACAATTCTCATTTTCATCTTCACGAACAAGCCCTAAAGTAAGATGACATTGAAAATAAAATTAAAAGTCGTGATGATCCTCCATAGTTTATTCACATTTTTTTTTGGGTTAGTTCAAACAATCATGAGATGATTCGATGTTTGGAGATAAATTAATTTAGTTGTGAGACGATTAACGTTTCGAGATAAATTAACTTAGTAAATGTCTATCTCATAAAATCTCCTAGGATTATTTATTTAGGGAGATTTTTTTTAAAAGAGACCGTTTTTAATAAAAAAAGTAAAATGGACCCTTTTGTGAATTAATTATCAGAAGTTCTTTTCTGTCACGTCATCGCAGCTAGCGAAAAAAAGGTCGATTTCACAAAATATAATCTTCAAAACACAAGAGACTAGTAGTCCAGTGTATTTAGATATCGTTAATTAAGAGCTAATATTATTCTTTTAATATACACGAGACTACTAACCGACGATTAGTGACTGCTAAATACACGAGACTATTAGTCATGTGTATTTTAAATATTATATTTTACAAATCTGACCTCTTTTTGGCCAGCCGCAATGGCATGGCCAGAAAAGATGTTGATTTTGTTAATTAATTCACAAAAGACGATTTTGCTAATAACTTTTAAAACCAACCTTTTTTAAAATCTCTCCTTTATTTAAATATTGTAACAACTTTACAAAAGGAGTACATTGAATATCAATTTCTAAAGGGGGAAAAAAATTATTGCACTCTTATATTCAACGGTGAAAAATCTTGTGTTGAATTATCATATTGGTATTTTCGTACACCTCTCTTACTACTTTGGCAATTTTTTCTAGTTTCAGCAATGTTTCGATTTCTTTCTAAGCAAAATATACAATTAAGATTCAAAACTTTGCCGACTATTAAAAAAAGATTTAAAAATCTCACATGATACTATTAGTCATTAGTGCTTTTTATTCACGAGGAAAGTGTCTGGAAATTATTTGACATATAAATATAATAACTATGCTCTAGTACGTGAAAATAAATTTTGGGACGAAATGTAGAGGGCATGATATTACCTCAAAATATAGTATAGATAAAGCTTCAAAGGTCAAAATCTGCTAGGGAAAAGAGGCTTCATTGCTTGTGAGGTCAAAATCTACTAGGGAAAACAGGCTTCATGGTTTTTTTCCGTCGACCGATAAGTTGTGGGTCTAATTACACATCTGGCTAAAAAAAACCAAAATTTCGATAGAGCTTCAAAAAATACTTTAAAAAGATACCAATCTGATAATTTAGCCTATTTAAAAGCATAAACTAAAATTCATATTGAAAAGAGGAGAATATCACGTGAAAAGCACGTGCTGCACCACGGCCCTCAGCTATCCACGATAAAATCAAGGCTTGGACCCAAAAATTAAAGCAATCGATGAACTTCTCCTCGTTTCTTGATTAATTCTTTTAAAAAAAAGAGAGAAAATAAAAAGAAAATAAAAATGCCAGGGTTGAGAGGTCCCTCCGATTACTCGCAAGAACCAGCTCGCCACCCCGCTCTCATAATTAATTCCAAGGTATTGCTCCAATTTTATATTTTGTTTCGATTATTTCCTACTCATGTTGTGTAATTCCTTTGAACTGGGTAGTTCTTTGATTATAATATTATGAACTCTTTTCTGCAAAATTGCAATTTCATATCAATTTTAGAAGTAATTGGAGTGCAAATATAAAGGGAAATTCGATTTGGACGAAAGATTCCTTTTATTCGACCTTTCATAATCCTATTATTATTTAATTTTGAACTTTTTAGCCAAAAACTTTGCTCTATAACTTGCATTTGAATAGTATATTCATTTAATTCTCTGGAAAAAGAAAGCAAGCCCCTTTATCACCGAATGATCTTGGTCCTGCAAAATTGTATGAATTTGCATCATCAATTAAGATAGTTAAATACTTGGTCTCGTTTTAGAGTTTCATGGCCAAGTCCTTTGAAGTTTTTTTTTTTTGCAAGTCGATTCAAACTGTAGTTTATGACCTGTTTGTCTAGGAAATGGACCTATATAGAAAACTAGGATTGGGATGTAAACAATGGCAGATTCAGAAAATTTTTCTTGGGGGCCGGAGAACGAGTATCTATTTCTGAAAAATAAAAATATAATATTATAAAACTATAGTATCTAATGGCAATGCACTCGGTACACTTTTGATGGGCTAATTCAATTTGCTACTCACTTATTTAGTGTTTTTAGATAGATTGGGGTGCAAATTTTTACAATTTATAGAGAGCATATTGTAAATATCACAAGGACTTGTATGCAATTTCCAAATTTGTAGGGGTGCAACTGCACCACGACACTTGAAGCTAAATCTCTTTTTTCATTACATTTTCTAATGAGAAACATAAAATAAAAGCACTCTCTTTTTTTTTAATTACATTTTCTGGAGTTAAGAGAAATTCATTCTAAATGAATAAACTGTGTTAGGCCCAAACTTTTAAGACTAGATACCTGCACTTTACTAGACTATGGTTCATAGCTAAATAAAACATCAGTATGGTATTCTGGACTTAAAAGTGAATTACTACAGTCAAGAAAACTTAGCTCCATAACCAAATAAGACAGCAGACATTTCTATGCGCTGTTTATGAAGACTTCAATCAGTATTTTGCTTCAAACCCTGTCTTATCTGTCTGCTTCGGAGAGGCATGATAGTAGTGGTACAGTATTTCTTTTTCCGAGTCGTGTAATCTTTGTGGTTATTGTTGCACTATTGATGAGTGACATCCAAAGTATATACTGACTTTTTTATTTAAGGGTATGTGACCCTTTTTTCGTCAGTTTCAGTGCAATAATTATTCTACAACGTGGAATTTCTGTATTATTAATTATGTCTTTTCTTTCTTCTCCAGCCCTTCTCCAGCTTGAATAGAAGAATAACTGTACTTGTAGTGATGTAATTATCTTCAGATGTTTGTCCCCCATTTCATTTCTGAATATAATATAACTGATTTTTCATTATTCATATTTTACCTTATCCTTTGCATAACATTTATACTTGAAATCATGGGTCGTCTGACTATTTACTTGTGTAGCAACCATTCAATGCAGAACCTCATCGTTCAGCTTTGGTTGCCTCGTATATTACACCTGTGGATTTCTTTTACAAGAGAAATCATGGGCCAATTCCAGTTGTTGATGATATTGAGAGGTCATTATTCTTCCATTTCCGTAGTTAAATTTGCTTTCAAATTCATGGGAACTTCTGTAATTGGAACTTTTTTTTTGGCGGAGCAGGTATCGTGTCACGATTGAGGGTTTGGTGGAGAAGCCAGTGCAACTGTCTATGAGTGAAATTAGGTAAACCTATAAACCGTTGACATGCTATATCCTACATACTCCTCTAGCACAAACATGGAACTGACTTATTATATCGATTGCAGGAAACTCCCCAAATATACCGTGGCTGCAACTTTACAGGTAAGATTGCATACGTTAGACTTTCTTTTTCAGTATCTATTTGTCATGTATTCAAGTTTTTTTAATGAATGTGCTTGAGTTTTCATTAGCCTTGATCTCTGATTGATTCTTATTGAGTGGATTATGATGAGAATAGTTTATTGGTACGAAACTTGCAAGCAATTCAGTGTGCAGGTAATAGAAGGACAGCAATGAGCAAAGCACGGACAGTTAAAGGTGTCGGTTGGGATGTTGCTGCTCTTGGAAATGGTAAGTATCTAATTACAAATTTTGTCTAGTATGCGTCATAATTTAGTGCACGTTATTTATATTCTGATACACATTTCAAAAGATGCTTGCATTATTGCAACCTATTTTGAGCTTCTGCAACTCCTAACTTCGAGAAGTTGAAAACATTTAATAATTCTTTGCAAGTTTGGTGGATTCTCCTAGAGAAAGTATTTGTATGGAAAATGTTTAATGACAGCATGTTAATCTTGAAATCTAGTTATCTAGGTTACAAGGCAACAACCTCTAGAAAAATGTTACTTATATGTTTTCATTTATGCGTAGATACTTGTTTTTTTAATGTGGATCTCGCATGTTATTGTCTACTCCACAAATATTATAGATGTTATGACTGTAGGATTCCTTCTCTTGCTCATTTTGCTTGTTCCTTAAGCATGATAACTGTTAGTTATTGGATTGAGCTTATATTATTAAAATTTTCAAAGTTTTCCATTAAATATCTCTTAAGAAGGAACTAAAAAAAATGTTTTGGTTTGGTTTCTTCTGGTTCTTTAACTGCAACAGTTATGATTTAAGAATATTAAGACATCCCTCTTAACTAGAAAGCTGCGGGGAAGCTTTAGATTCCGAAGGCTTTAAGTCAGTAACATAAACTAGAACATTTGAATGTCACTTCAAAAAACTGATAAGAAGATCTGATATATGGTTAAAACTAATGACCAACGCAACAAAGAGTGTCTATAAGTGACTATTTTAGGCTTGACAATGGGAAGTATGGTCTTTAGAAGTAATGAGTGCTATTGGAAATGAAGAAGTACTTCTGAAGTGAAAAAAAGCAAAAAGTATCATGTATGGAGGTGAAGATTTGGTTGGTTCGGTTTAGTTTTATTGGAGAGTAGAAACCAAATCAATTACTATTTACAGGAAGAACTTTAGATGATTTGATTTGGTTAGTTGGGGTCATTTTTTTGCTTTTGTTCTTGGATAATTGAGAAATTGAGTGAGATAACAGGAAGAAGAGGATGAGAGGCTTAAAATATTGGTCTTCAAAATCTTCAACAAAGCAACAAATTGCTTAGGGTGAAATTCATCCAGAGATAGTATAAAAAACCTACACTTGGTAACAAATTGGAATTTGATACCACTATCGGCAAAAACCCTACAGCTTAACAACTAGCAAATTTCCAGTCATCAAAATGAGCAAAAACCTTACTTAAAAACTACTTCTTTGGTAGTGAATTAAATGAGACCTAAAGGGCTGAAAACTGCCCCAAAAGAAAGACCTTCATCGCATCTGACAAGCCCAAAAAGAAGAGAGTAAACAGAGAAGTTAGAATTAACCCCTTTCCCCTTCGCTTCCTTAACACCCCAAAACCCCAAACCTCAGCCAAATCAAGCAGATGAAAAAGAAGTTTTCTGTATGAACTATCTGGCACATAATTCTCGTGCCCTATAGAGCAGATAGTCAAAAATGACTGTCCCGCACTCTGACCTGTTCAAAATTGATGATTCCACAGCCCAGATAGCTCACCTAGTCACCTTCTTGTTGCATTCTAGAATAGATATACTGGTCTCTTGAGAAATTCATTTGTGATTACTGTTAATGTAATGTATGAATTTTCTACATTGCTACCCATGCAAAGTCCGCTTTGCCACCTCGTGTCTAGGATCACTATTGTCATTATCCACACATTTCACCCTAAGTTCTAGCTAAAGGCAAGATGGCTCTGCTGGTGAAGATATTGATGGAAAAAGACTGAAGAATTAAGGAAATGTGAAGAGAGGATCAAAGCTCTAGACCTATTCCTATCCTTATCTCTTTTTATATTTACATATTAACTGAAAGTATCCCCACCTGACATGGGAAAAAGGAAAAAGAGAAGTTTGACTCAAACAGATAATATTTTACTTTAATCAGTTGCTTTCTCATATTTAAGCTTGCAGTTGTGCTATAATTTGTGAAATATATGTTCTTTTAATAAGGCATAGACACAAGATTTATGAGGCTGGCTATCCCCAGGCACAACTTTATCCTGTAGTTTCAATGGCTGTGCTTTAGCTATAATTTCCTGATTGGCTTCTTTCAGCAACTTGGGGAGGAGCGAAATTATCAGATGTACTTGAGATTGTTGGGATATCTAAGCTTACTTCAGTCTCATCATTGGGAGGGAAGCATGTTGAATTTGTTAGTGTTGACAAGTGTAAGGTGAGTACTGGTCTATACTGTTGTGAAAGCTTATTCCATGTCAGGCAAGGTGATTCCATTATTCTTCCTAGAGCCTATGAAGACCATGAGTAACGTTGTTTTCTAATTTTCTTTGCGGGATTTGAAAAACATTAGGAGGAAAAAGGTGGCCCTTATAAGGCATCAATTCCATTAAGGCAGGCTACAAATCCTGATGCTGATGTCCTACTTGCATATGAAATGAATGGAGAGGTAAAAATGCATTTTCTTTTTGTTTCTGCCTATGTGCTCAGAATAAAATGTAGTTTCTTCTAACCTGCACATAAGCACAATTTATGTTGTGAATGCCATACTTGCATTGTTACTTGATGTTAGCTCACCTTTTCGGCATGCCTTGGTTCCTCAATCATTTGAACTGGACAATGTTGCTTCATTCTTATAAGAATTGTCATGCTCGTATGGAATACATATTTTCTCAGTGAGTTCCATTTCCCTCTTCTAATGCATGTTTGAGCTATATTTTTATCTATGCAATAGCTGAAGGTTTCTGGAAAGAGCCTCTTCGCATGCGGCGGTAAGGCTGCATACATCTGACCCTCCCTACCTCCCTAGAGCCCACAATGGTGGAAGCCTTTTGCATTGGGTTACCCTACCCCCAATAGCTGAAGGTTATATGTATATTTGACTTCACGCTTGAAGAAACCAAGCGATACAAAAAAAATGTGCAAACTTTTTTTATTTACATTTAGATATATGGTTTTCCTACAAAATGGTGCTAAACAAAAGGAAATAAGGGTCCAGGGAACTGTTAGATGTTCTATGTGCAGAGAAAGGGCATCAGCTTAGTTGGTTACAACCCTCATTGATGTGGGGGGTTTCCTAGGCTAGGCAGGCACTTATTTTGCACTACTTTTGTGTGTGTGACGTGTTTTTTTTAATGAGCAAGACCGCGCGGCTCCCCTCCTCTTTTTTTTCTTATGATCAAAAGAGTCATCAATTCTTTCTCTCATCATACTTTTATTCCCTCTTGTGTTGATTTCATTTTCTTGTCCTATTGTCCGAGTGCCATGTTACCTAGTCTTTCCTTTTTCTTGCCTTATGCAAGTAGCCAAGTACCAAGCACTTGTAGAGGTCAGAATTATTCATCTTATTGTCATTATTATTAGTTTTGATATTTATCCTTTGTTTTTCTCAAACAATGTAAATGGTGTGAAAGGCGTGTGTATGAAGATAATTTTATTGTTTTTTGGGGTATGCAATTTTGAAAGTCCGTCACAGAAATCATGGTACCGACAAGGTTGGTTCATTATTTGTCTAGGAAAAGGTAATCCCTACAATAAAGATGACAAGCACTATAGACAGCTTTTTGGGAGATGAAAAGAGTCCAGACAGGTGACTGCATAATGGGGCCTATTGATCATACATCCTAAATTAACACCTGTATTCTTATTTGTAAACAGAATAGCCCCATTCTCAATTGTAAATTACACTTTTACATCAATGAACAGATATTGATGATTGAAAACAATTAAAAGTATAGTAGTTAATATGATTCTCTTTCCTGTGAAGCAAAGCGTTTCAGGGGTTACAGAATCTTTGGCTTTTAGGACCTAAGGCTCTAGATGTCACTTTCCAGAATGGAGGTACAATGACCGACTAACGACTTTGGGGGATGCAAAAGAAGTAAATAGGAGAGTAGATAGAATGGCTTTCTTTCCTGCGTTTGAGATTTTCCAGGGTCTTAGAGGGCCTAAGCATCTATTCCATTGTTCTTTAAAGAGTTTGATCCCCATCGTTTTTCAGTGATCCTTTATACGTAATCCGAAAAGATATTGTCCAAGAAATTTTCTTTGTTCTTTACTATGACGTTATCTAATAATTTGAAACTTATGAATTGTATGCTTGGTTTAAATTAATTTTGTAGTTTATGATTTAAATATCCGTTTTTAACGGTTAGACTATTTCACCTAGAAATTAGGTAACTAATGGCATATGTTGATTAGTTTTACCCCTGAGATTTTTTATTCTTTTGAGAGCATTAATATACAGCAAAGGCATCTACCTTCTGAACTAAAAACATAACCTGAAAGTATATAGTTCATTATTGTATGGGTTGTTTAGATCAGAAATTTAATTTTGTTAAGTTACATAATGATTTTTTTGATTATGGTACTGTTCAAACGTTCGTTAGTTATTATGCATCTATGGATTAATCCACATTTGCTTCTTGCTCTTAGAACTGGAATCTCTCAACATTGTTCTTTTGGATCCACGTCCATGTACTAGCAAGTGACAACTTGAGCTGTCTTTTTCATGTTAGATTGTTATATTAGCTAAGACAGTGGTTTATTTATGTCAAATGGAAGTTTTTATGTTTTCATGTGATTTCTAAGCTTTATGTAGTCCGAGTGGTACTAAACACCTTCTCATTAAATTTTTGGAAGGTTGATTCCTGGTGAGTACATCACATTTTTCTTACTGGACACAATTATGACAAATGACAATATGCTAGAAGCTTGTTTATACTCACGTTATAGAACTCAAACAGAAATGCATAGTCTTAACCAAATACAAAACTCAACCTTCATGGGAAGAATGCTATTTTGCTATCTGCACAAGGCCTCAGTTCCCATCTTATGGTCATTCATCCGAGATTTGTCTAATTAAGACCGTGTTACCTATCCTGTATCCCACGCATCATCTTTTTTTTTTCCTTTTCTAAATTGATTAATTCTAGAATCATCTATATTTCTTGTATAATAACTCCTTTCAGAATATTTCTTGTAGAATTTCACAATCCTTTTTGGGTTGGGATTATATCTTTCTTCTCTTGCTCTTTTTCTGTCCATGCCTTTTTTCTACCTTGGTTTTTTTTTTATGGTTCAGAGGTCAGAACATATAGCTAAATAAGTTTATACACTGTTTTGCAATTATAGTTCGACTTTTTGTTGCCTTTCTTTTATTGTATATTGAGGTTTTTGGGCTATGCAACAATGGTTTTGTCCACTGAATCTCAACTTTTCCTCAGTATATGTTATTGTCATGGTTTATCTTTTATTATTGAGCATTACATGACAGATCTTGTTTATCCTCTTATGTTTGTTGTCTTGGTCACATGGTAGATCATCAACCGTGACCATGGATATCCATTACGTGTGATTGTTCCTGGTGTTATTGGTGCCCGATCTGTTAAGTGGCTGGATAGCATTTCTGTAATCAAAGAAGAATGTCAGGTGTTGAAATTCTTGAGATTTTATTTTCACTTTTCTGCCATACTTTTTGAAATTTATTGTCTAACTTTCTTCTTTTTTAACAGGGCTTTTTTATGCAAAAGGACTACAAGATGTTTCCACCCTCAGTTAATTGGGACAATATCAATTGGTCAAGTAGGAAGGCACAGATGGATTTTCCAGTGCAGGTATGAATTATATCATATCAGGTGACATTGTGCTTTCTCATCAGTGGTGTAATTCATTTACAGGAAGAGAAGGTTCAGATTTAAGCAAAACACTCGCACAAACTTGAAAAACTAAAAGAAACAAATAAGTAATAAAGATGTTCAAATGATCTAACCAATGTATTATCTTATAATAATCATGCCCAAGCTCTTCTCTGAATCTCTGCAATAATCAAAGACGATGTTTCTGGTTAACCATCAAATTATTACTGTGTTTGTTGGAGAGCATTCTCTTGAGAGTAAACTTCAGGACATATAATGCTTGTGTTTATGCAATTGTTTGATATTCTTTGATATTCTCACAATCTATAGCTCTTTAATACAGATGTTTATCACATACCAGTTTTTCTCCAGTAAAGTTATGAAGATATTTACCGAAGAAATATAATTTGTTTGAATTGTCATATAATTTGGATATGAAATTCTAGTTTTTGAAGGTGTGAGACCTCAATTGGTGTAAAGTCATTTCCCGATCTGAGACCAAGTTACAGTTGCAATTAGTGTGAAGTCAGAGGAGAGATTCCAAAAAAAAATGAAAAATAAAACCCTGAACCTAATTTTCGTTCATCTTCCTCTCTCAGCAGCTGCTGCCATCAGCCCGCCACTGTCTTGATCATACATTATAGTCATCAAACTACCCTGATGTTGGACCTTAATTCTGCAAGAATACATAATATATTCGTTATTCTACACAATGGAACTTCAATACATAATATTATCATCAGAGTGTATAGACTATCCATTTACGTTTCAATTGTTGAAAAGTAATTTGGTTAAGGACAAATTTTTAAAAAAGACCCTTTTTTAATATTAATAAGCAAAATCGACCGCTTACAATTTTATTCAGCAAAATCGACCGCACGGGACTGCTAGTCCCGTGCAGTTCTCCAAAAACCCCAAAAATCAACGATTTCCTCTCTCTCCCCCTGTCAGTCCCTCTCCCTCCCTCCTCCGCCCTCTCCCAAAAACACACCCTTCCCTTCGCTCCCCTCAAAAGCCACACCGCTCATCGAATCAAATATCTCCCTCTCCTCATAATTTACTTGGAGGAACATGACATCTGGGTTCATCTCAGCAAACTGACAAATCTGCCCCCCCAAAAAACAAACAATAAATACATAAATTCACAAACATTATAGGAGGGAGAATGATATTATCAGCAATTGAAAAGGGATTGATGAGTTTTGTACAGAGATTATACCTTTGGGTGAAGGGCTTTGCATCCTCCGCATCCAAGAGAGAAGAAATCTACAACCACGAGCTTGTCGCCTGCGGTCTGTAAAGAATCGACGAGATCTTGAGCTGATTCGATCTCCTTCATGTTTGGCTGCAACCCTTTCTTCCACCATCTCATAGCCTTTGGGAAGGCAAGAGTCATTTGCAAAATTTCATCCCCCTCCCCGTCGTCCACGGCATCCAGCTCTCCTAGGGCCTCTCCTTCGCCTTCTCCGCTGTCAGGTACGTCCGCTTCGACTAGGACCTCTCCACCGGCTAGTCATCCGGCCCCCGCCCCTGGCTCGGCCTCGACGGACTCGTTGTTTTTTGGGGACCGAGAGGGGGAGAGGGCGGAGGAGGGAGGAGAGGGAGAGGGACTGAGAGGGGGAGAGAGAGGAAATCATTGATTTTTGGGGTTTTTGGAGAACTGCACGGGATTAGTAGTCCCGTGCGGTCGATTTTGCTGAATAAAATTATAAACGGTCGATTTTGTTTATTAATATTAAAAAAGGGTCTTTTTTAAAAATTTGTCCTTTGGTTAAACTAACTTCTCATGATAAGGATTTTATTGTCAGTATTGGTGGCTTTGCTTACTGCTTAGTTTGTGGTTGAGCTGGACTTCTTCCGAGAGCATCATAGGGTGTGAGTACGAAAATTGCAACATGTTCAAATTAGAGATCCATGCACTTGAGTATGACCATGACTTTACACTATTTAGCAAGAACAAATAAAAGTATTTTATCCATGCATAAAAGTGGCCATGAAATCAAGTTTTACACTATTTAGCAACTTTACATATTTGTGGACACTGGCCACCTTGATGTTAGGGTAAGACGTGCAGGAAATTATTGATGTTTAGATGCTTAAAGGCGGAAGATCACGTTCAAGAGATTACAAATTTCAGTTTAGAGCGTGACTGGAAGTTCCACATCTTTGATGCTTATAAAAGAAGTGCAGCTGCGTGCGCGAACGCAAAACAGATGAAGAGAACGAGGCTTACTGATGCAGAACGGAAGAGACAGACTTTAAATTGAAAATAATCTGAAAATTTTGTCGAAATTTTCAGAATGAACAGCACCTGTGAACTGTAACTTTTCTCCTTTTTATATTTCTTATTGTAAGGTAAAAAGTAAATAAAGACAGATAAAAGATAATAGGTTAAACCGGATTTACTCACAGCGTCTAACAATTAGTTGAGCCGGTTTCACACACAGATGCTTAACCCTTTTGGCTTCACAGCAAGAAATAGTGGCTTCACGCTTTAGAAAAATCAGACAAGGTTTTCTTCAACTCTGATTTTCATAAATTCTTCATAATCTAAATACCGTGAAAGCATAATCAATATATCTAGGGTTTAGAATCCTATCTCTAATAAAATTCCAAATAGAAATGGACTTCCAATCCTAATACATATGCATTCCAATTAATCATAACTTGCTAAATTTAAATGCAATTAAACTCTATTTCAAATAATAAATCTAATCAATGATAAAAAACCAAATTTACCAATCCTAACTAGTTATTCCTTTCGATGAGGAGTCTTCAACCCAATTTGACTTTGGCCCTCAAATTGTCCTAAAATCACTGAGGCACTAATTTTCTTCTCAACCATGTTGATTGCATTAATGGATTCATCTGCAATGAAAAGGAAATTAAATCAAATAGGATGAAATAATAGATACATTGTTCTATATGACTTTTAAGTTATCCCCCTCGTTGTAATTGCTCAGGTTAATTACTGAAGTGCTCAGGTTAATTACTGAAGTTAGACCATGCGACATTGTTTGAGGCATTAGATATTTATTGTGTTAAAATTCTTTTTTTGTGGATAACAGGACATTATTGAAGCTTAAAGTTTGTGTAGAACAGCAAGGTTGGCTAATTCACGGTCATCAGATGTTGCATAGATGTCAATGTTTCTGTTCGAAATTTAAGGGTTTTAAACCCCACATGACATTACTTGATCTACATAAAATTCTTCAAAAAACTAAGTAGACAAGGGTATAAATGTTTACTTTGCTATCATTTATTGACATGTAATAAACTCTTTATTTTTTGAATTGACGAAATCTTCAGTTAATGACATAGTTTTTGTGGTGTTTTAGTGTGCTATTTGTTCCTTGGAGGATGAGAGTGTTGTTGATCAAGGAAAGGTTTGAAAAACTTTTACCAGAACCCATTTTGTTTGAATGCTAAATTAGATGCGACCTTATTATATATATTGTTGCATTTCAGGTTACTGTCAGTGGCTATGCCCTCTCTGGTGGTGGGCGAGGTATTGAGAGGGTGGATATATCTGTTGATGGGGGCAAGACTTGGGTGGAAGCAGATAGATATCAAAAGAGCAGTGTGCCGTATGCATCTGATGGCATAAATAGCGATAAGTGGGCTTGGGTCCTCTTTAAAGCTGTGGTTGATGTACCAGAAAATGCTGAGATAATTGCTAAAGCGGTTTGCCTTACTTTTCACTTCACCTTTGAGCTTGATTTTTCTCTGTTAATTTATATTTCAATAACTATAGCTAACGCTTGTCATGGTATCACTAATATCTATCCTCGTATATGAGGTTAAAGAGTTGAATTCATCACTACTGAACATGGGATCAGAATTATCCTTCTCTTTCGATGCACATATAATTAAGATTATAATTAAGATAGGATATTTTACATTTTGTGCATTGGTCCTTCATTTGCGATGTCAACAGAATATTTTATGTGGGGTATGCTTCTAATAAACTCAGAAACCCATTGTCAATTAACCTCTTCTGAAGAGGGGCATCAATCAAAAACAATCTAACTATCAGTATCACTAAAAATAACGTGACAAGATTATGAACTGTCTTAGTGGCCTGAAGTGTCTGAACTGGAAATCTTTTGATCATTGTACGCACGTGCGTGTGCATGGGCATCCATGCGTGTGTGTTCTCAAACTAAGGTTTGTGAAAATTTCCTTGTCAGACATCTTAGGAATCTTAGAATGGCTGACAACAAACTTCTCGAGAAACTTAGTTTGAGAACTGA